TGGAATGCCAATTTAATAGAACAATGTGTTCTTGCAATGAGTAAGTGCTTGGGTGGAGGCCCAATGTCCATCTGCTGCCTTAATACTAAACCTATAAATCTATGCATGTAGATCTGAAGAAACACGAATTTTATATTGCTGTGTGGTACTAAGAAAAGAAAGGATTTTTAAAAAAACAACTTTATTGGCACTTCATCCACATATCATAAAATTCAATAGTTCGATCATATAAAGAAGAGTTACACAATCATTATCACAATCAATTTTGGAACATATTCTTCCTCACATGCATTGTTATTAGTGTAGTTATTTAAAAGATGTTTTTGGATTTCTCCCCAACCCTGCAAGTCCATAATTGATACTGTAATTTACATAAAATTCTGTATGCGCACTTCTGATTTCTTAGAGGGCTTATTGGTATTTTTGAAAATGAAAAATTTAATTGAAAATTCAATTTTGACAATTTGACACTGCAAAGAAAAAGTTATGGAAGCGAAACTCATGCCTTGTGAAGTTACTCTTAGTAGTGGAAAAGCCAAAAATAAATAAATAAAATATAGTGGAAAAGCCAGATTATAGTATTCTGAGAACCAGGAAAAAAAATTAAAGTAAGTTCTTTTAAATTAATTTTTTCCAGTGTTCAATTTACAACCAAGTAACAGACAGGTCTACACAGTGAACAATAATAGCAAGGAGGTGGGCCCTCCTTATACAATCAGACATATGTGTAGTGGGCCATGAGTTGGGCTGTCCACTGCAAGGTACGCAGTTCAAAATCACCAGCAGCTTTCTACTCCTGTGAAGATTTACATACAGTCTTGGAAACCCACAGGGGGAGTTAACTACATTCTATAGGTTTGCTATGGGTTGGAATTAGCCTGATGGTGGTAAATTTGGGAGGCAGAAAGCTTAGAAGGAAGGAGGAATAGGGAAGAATGATGAATGGAAATCAGAAACACAGGTAGGAAGTTGGAAGAATTTTGTTACATTATGAGGATTGCTATAATGACACAAAACGAAATGTGTATGCATTTTTAAGATGAAATGTAATTTGTAAACTGTCATCCAAATCACAATTTGAAAAACTTTATACAAATTAGGTAGAATGGTTTTGAAAGTCAAAGTAGTTCTTTTTAGAGAGTGTGGATTGAATATATTGTTTTTCAAAATCACCTATTTTCTATTTGTTTAGGTTTTTCAGATGAATAGAAAATATTGTAATAATGAAAAAGAAAGAACAATTCAATATGAGACTATTTTATATACTATTCTTATTTTCTTGATCATATGAAAAATCCCATTTCCATTTTTAGAGCCACAGTAGGCATACAGAAAAACGGTGGCCAAAACACAAATTTTTTGTGCACCCCTTTTCTCCTTGGACCCTGTGTCTCCAATTATTCACATTTTGCACTAATGTAGAACATTTGTTACTGGAGTTTAGTAGCAGCTGAACCAATAGTATTCATATGTTAATGAAATGTAATCCTTATATTAGGAGCTCTGGTGGCATAGTGGATTGCACTTTGAGCTGCTAACCACAGAGTCAGAAGTTTGAATGCACCATCCGGTTTCACAGGAGAAAGATGAGGTTGTTTATTACTATAAAGATTTAGAGTTAACTTAGATAGCAGTTCTACTTTTTCCAATAGGGACTTTATGAGTCAGAATAAAAAACAAAGTTGAGAAGGCTTATATGAGCTAGGTTTCTTGGGGTACATGCCTTGTGATTGATTATGAACTTAAAGCTGGAAGTTCAAACCGACCCAGAAGCACTGAAGAAGCTAGGCCAGGCACTCTGCTTCTATATAGCTAAGAAAACCCCAGAGCAGATCTCCTCTGTTGCACATGGGATCACTTCAATCTGTATTCAGACTCTCTCTATGTGTTGTGCAGTCTTAAGGGTCTTGACAAAAGCATCATGTCATGTGTCTGGCACACAGAATACTATCACTGCCCCTAAACTGCCCGGAACTTCACTATTCATTCTAACTTCTTTTTTTTTAAGTCAGTGCTAACATTTGTCATTCCATGGTGTGGATGAAGTGTCTAACACCCTGAAAGATACAACTGGGTGAATTAGACATTTACAACTAAAGAGAGGAGGCAAGCTGCAAGGAGCAGTGTTATTCATGGTGGTTCTAGGATATGCTTCTCAGTCGATACCAGGTGACAGAGCAGGAAAGGAGCATGGTGGACAGAAGGCCTTCCATGCCACTCCTAATGTGCTTTACAGCTTTCAAAGGACACAGGTACTTTGTTTTCTATATACTCTGAAGCAGAAGTGTTTTAGGCTAGGTTTTTTAGAGTAGCAAAAACAATGATACTTGTATACGTGTATATATGTGTAGCAAGGAAATCACAGTTGTAGAAGCAGACAAATCTAAATCCAGGCAGGTTGCGAGTTCATTGGCCCGTTATGAGGCTGGAGGCTTGTCCTGATTCACATAGCTGTGGGTGCTGATAATCAGCAGGAAGTCCACAGGCTTGTGGCTGCAGAGGTGATAAACTGAAGGTCAGATGGCAAGTTTCTAATGATTCTCAGGATCAGCAGGCAATATGGCAGGTCTTTGGCTCAAATCCAAAGAATCAAAGGTCAATGAGCCAGACACAGGATGCAAACCCAGCAGGAAAGAAACAAGCTTCCCTATAGTGTCCACTTATGATGGAAGCAAGCCATACCTCTGAAGCAATTAATAGCCTCAGGGGTGTGACCTCAGTAAAGATGTTGCATTCCATCTTAATCTTATTCCATTATGGAGGATTGCAAGTGGTTCTTCACTGTGATTAAATTGTATTAAGTCAAGTTGGGGGTTAAGTAGGTATTAATTGCTAAACCACTGAGAATCCTACAACAACGAATTTGCCAAAAAATCTTAGCTATCAAAATAAGTATGGGTTTATCAGGGACTATTTAGAGGGATAGACCGCTACCAATATTTCTAAAATAAACAACAAAGTTCAGTTGATAAGTTTACACTGTTGCTCTAATTGAGACTACACGCCAGTCTTTCCAAGCTGTTTCAGGCACTTCATAGCACAGTTTGGCATGAATTTTCTCTTATACAGTAGAAAGTTCTATTATGGTGGGTTTTATTAAGGCTGCTTTTCATATCTGTAATTTTTGAAGATAAGGATATTATTAATAACTGCCCTTCAGATAAAACTGTACCAAAGAGAAATCCTAGATTTTCCAAACTCTCATGCCAGCATTTTAAAATACCTTTGTTTTGACCTTTCAGCTTGATGTGAATGTATGGCTTATGGCTGTAAAATGGTCCATAAGTACATTTTTTTCATGAGTAAATGTATTAGTCTGGGTACTTTAGAGAAATGAATCCACAGAAACTCATGTATAAGAGAGAGTTTTATATAAAGGGTAAGTACCCATCAAGAAAACATGCCAGCCCAGTGCTGCCCAAGCCCATAAATCCATCATTAACCCATTAACCCATATTTCCAAGACCAATCCACAAAATCCCCCTTCATCTCACAAAACAGATAAACACAGGCTTAGTTTTATTAAGCAGAAGTATCTGCCATGGGCTCCATTGTTGTGAAACTGGCAGGAGTGGAACTCTTAGCACGTTTAGATTATTCTCATTGTCGTCCACGATGGCTGAGGCAATGGCTGTCCACTGAATGCTCTGGTAGACTGGAATTGATTGATTACTGTCAGAATGACATACTTATTGGTTTTCATCAGTTTGTAGCAAATACAAAGACAATGGAAAGGATTTTATGAGTGTAAGTGATTTTAGCTCATTATTCACTGTTAAAGGGAGACTATTTGGGTGTTTCCATGAAAGAGATAATTAAATATCCTTGAGATTCTAGGAAGCTCTTACCATGAGGCCAAATTGTAATGTTGCTTCTGGCTCTATTATAGACACGGTAGGCAAAATACAGTAAAACGCAATAAACAGTTTCCAAACATCAACTTCTTGAGGCAGGCCCTGCCCTATTGGCCCTGGGTTCAGAAAAACCTGAAATTAGCTAGTTTTTTAAATGGGAAGAGTAGGAGCAATTTGCTAACATTTTTGATTCTCAATTTCCTCATCTCTTAAATGGGCATGGGTTTGAGTGGATTAAATATCACAAGGTATAAAAAGTACCTAGCAAATATCAAACACTAACCACATAGTCATGGTTGTTATCAATGGAATTATTAGTGAGGTACTCCTAGCTATATAGTCTCAAATTCCTTATTGTATTTTATTTGTTTCTTGCAGTGGAGAATGCCACTGAAACTGATCCAACAATTGCAGTGAAACGGTACTTACCATGGAAAAGCTCTTACATTACTAACCATTGTATCACCACTGTCCTTTTCTTTTAGAAACCCCTTTGACACGGGCAGAACCTGAATGTCAGCCCTGGGAGAAACTTCAGAATTCAAGATGTGTTTGTAAAATGCCCTATGAGTGTGGGTAAGATTGCTCTTGCTTTTTTTCTATAAGTCTTATTTTATTCCAGATAAATGATGTTATTTTGTAACCAGTAGTCTCTTTTAGAAGGAGCCCTGGTTTCATCGTGGCTTACAATTTAGGCTGTTTACTGAAAGGTCAGCTGTTTGAACCCACCAGCCACTCCAAAGGAGAGAGATGAGGCTATCTGCTCACGTCAAGATTTACAGCCTCAGAAACCCAAAAGGGCAGTCGAATTCTGTCCTAGGTGTGAGAATTGATTTCAGTTTGTTTGAGAATCTGTTTAAGGAGCGCTGGTCACACAAGCAACAGCTGTTAACCAAAAGGATGTTGGTTTGAAACCTCTCATCACCTCAGTGGAAGAAAAGATCGGGCTCTTTCTTCTGTAAGATGATTATAACCAGGAAAACCCTACTATGTCGCTTGGAGTTGTGATGAGTCAAAATCTACTCAAAGACACCTAGCAACCACAAAAACAAGTCTCTTCAAGATGGAAAGGCTTTGCTTGTCAGCGGCACCGCTAAGGATCGGTGCATTCAATCCGCTGTCTTCCTGCACCTGTAGGGCTGACATCCATGTTGGCCATCCGCGTTCTCATCTGGCTAGAGAGTAAAATTGAAGGAGTACTTGATCACTGCATGCTCTGTATATAAAATGGAACAAAATCACAAAACTGTGACCCCCAAGATTTAGAGCTTCAGCGGTTAAGGGCTGAAATGCCCTTGGGATATAACTCAGTATGAATAGAATAAAGAATAGCTGTTTTTCTGATTCTCAAAAGAGTTACCTCTAAATTCTCATTATAAGAATCCTACCCAGGTTGATGCTTCAGTAAACACACATGCTGGAATCGGTCACTTGTTTTTTGCCAAGGACTTTAGAAGATAGTTACCTGGCCAAACGATGGGAAGAGAGCCAGATTTGTGTGAGTGATGCAACAGAATGAGGAAGTTATTAACCAACATCATTAATATCAGTTGCAAGCAACATTTTACTGAAGATAATTAAATGGTTGCCACAACACATCAATAGGAAACTGCCAAAAAGGGGAAACTGCCAGAAATTCAAGCCAGACTCAGAAGAGGATGTGGACGGAGGGCTAGCACTCGTGATGCTAGACGGATCTTGGCTGAATGCAGAGAGTAGCAGAAAGATGCTTACCTGTGTTTTACCATATGTGTTAGGGTGGGTTCTCTAGAGAAGAAAAACCAGTGACATTTGTATGTGCATGTATACATGTATGTATATACATTATCTATAGTTGTATATGTATATATATGTATGTATAGATAGATAGATAGATGATAGATCAAGAGGCAGTTGTGTGAAGAGAACAAGGAAATACAGCGTGGTTTCAAATCAGGAAAGGTGTGTCAGGTTTGATCCTCTCACCATACTTGTCCAATGTGAATGCTGAGCAATTCATTAGAGGAGTTGGCTTATATGAAGAAGAATGTGGCATCAGGATTGGAAGAAAGCTTACTTACAGCTTTCCATATGCAGATGGTACAACCTTTCTTGCTGATGAACATCAGCAAGATGTTGTAATCCATAGTCTTCAGTATGGATTACAATTCAATGTAAGAAAGACCCAAATCTTCACAACTGGACCAAGATAAAGGGAGAAAAGGTTGTTAAGGATGTTGTCTTGTTTGGATCCGCAGTCAGTGCTCATGGAAGTAGCACTCCAGAGATCAAAAGACCAGTTGCATTTGTTAAATATTCTGCACAAGACCTCTTTGGAGTATTGAAGAGCAAGGATGTTACTATGAGGACTGAGGTGTGTCTGACCCAATTAATGGTATTCTCCATCACCTCATATGCATTTGAAAGTTAAGCATCGAATAAGGAAGACCGTGGAAGAATTACTTTATTTGACTTGTGGTGCTGGAGAAGAACACCGAAAGTACCAGGGACTGCCAAATGGACCATCTGATCTGTGCGGGAAGAAGTAAAACCAGTGTGCTGCTCAGAGCCAAGGATGTCAAGAGTTCATCTTACATGCTTTGGACATATGATCAGGAGAAACCAGTCCCTGGAGAAGGACATCATGTTTAGTAAAGTGGAAGGTCAAACAAAAAGAAGAAGGGCACCAAGCAGATGGATTGGCACCGTGGTTGCATCAGTGGGATCAGGCATAGGAGCAATTGTGAGGATGGCACAGGACCGTGCACTGTTTTGTTCTTTTGTGCATAGGGTTGCTATGGGTCTAAGCTGACTCGATGGTGCCTAACCACAACAATAATAACATAGAGCTAGATTTATATCAAGAAATGGCCTACACAGTAGTGGAAGTAGGTAAATCCAGTTCATTTACATTTTTAGGTAGATGTAAGCTGGGCACTTTTCCTGGCGTGTGTGGCGGTAGAAGCTGAGAACAGGAAGCAGGATGACAAAGCAAGAGAGTCACAGGCTGTTGGATGTAGAGATTATTGAATCTGAGTTTGGCTGAATGAATCTAAGTTTGGCAGTCGGTTGATGCTCCAGGAATCATAAGGCAACACAATGATAGATCAACGAACCAGGTGATGGATCCAGATCCAGCAGGAGCCAAGGGGGCAAGAGAGAGCTTGACTCTGCTCAGGGTCTCCCTGAAAGGCATCATCCCCAAGGAGATGTCGTCAGGCTGCAACCTGATGGAAAGTTTGGGTTCCACCCCTACCTTCACCCAGGGAGTTGACAAAAGTTCTAACCATCACACCGTGTGAAATAATCATGGTGAACATTTGTAATAACGGCACGATGGCAGGATCAAGCCTCCTTTGTCTTCTCAAGGGGGAAGAAGAATCAAACTCACCAGCCCAAGACCACTTTCCAACCTTCATTACAAATCTGCCACCAGTTGTCTCTCCCATAGCTCTCTCTTTTCTGCTGTGTTGGATAATTGCAATGCCACCCAGAGCTCACAGTCTGTACTCACAATTATGGGGTTTATTAGAGAAGTTAACAGACTACAATTCAGGATCCCAAAGGTTCAGGTGACAGTTCTTTGGTAGGACAGGCCCCTGGAGAATTCTTGCACACCTTTGGCCTCCTGCCTCACCTTGGATTCTTTTGCCTAGCCTCTTCCTTGCTTGGACAATTTTACAAAGCTCCCCCCCGCCCCCAGTGTGGCTGATAAATGTTCAAGGGAACGCCACTCTTCATATATCTCAGACCTATCTCTGTGGATCAGTAAACTTAGCTCTCCCAGTGAAGTGCTTGGAGGTATGCTACCATGCAAGTGAGCCTCTTGCTGGAAGGTACTTAGCTTTACCTACTCTGTTTCTGCTACTTCTGCTGCCATCATTCTTCTGTTACTATCCTGATATCACAACTCTGTCTCCTGCATGGAGAATGGTCAAGTGCAGGGATCTCAGGGTGCCACTCCTGGCCTTTCTTTATGAATGATAGTAAGACCCTCACTCCTTGTTTCTGAGATGACTCATTTGATACCCAGCCAGATGCCAAAATTGACCAACCCCTATATTATAACCCCAAGATTTTATAATCATAACAAATGCTATTAGCAATCACTCATAACTGAATCGTGTAACCCTATCATTATCTTCCTCTTCCTTCTTGTAACCAGACCCATCAGGAAAAGAGGAAATACATCCAATCTGCAGGTTCCCAACCAGTCATTTGGTGGGAGTACAAACACTGTGGCCAGAAAAGACTTATCAAGTAATTCACTTAATCACAGCACTGTAAAGTATGAGAATTCCAGAACACTTAATTATGCTCATATACAACTTGTACATAGACCAACAAGCAGTTTTTAAAACAGAACACTGGAATACTGTGTGATTTAAAATTAGGAAAGGTGCACACCAGGATAGCAACCCTTCACCATATTTATTCAATCTGCATGCTGAGCAGATAAGATGAGAAGCTGAACTATATGAAAAAGAACTGGGCATTAGGATCGAAGACTCATTAACAACTTGCAATCGACACAACCTTTGTAATGAAAGTAAGGAGGACTTGAAGCACATATTGATCAAGATAAAAAAATACAGCCTTCAGTATGGGTTATACCTCAACATAAATTTTAAAAATTCTCATAAATCAGAATGATAAATGGAGAAAATACTCAAGTTAGAAAGAATTTCTTTTTACTTCATATCAAGAAGGCATTCCAGCCCAATCCAACTTCGGATCCACATAGCTGCAGGTCAATGATGCAGAAAGGTGAAGTGGGATGTAAAGAGATCACAGGCCTGTGGGTGCAGACTTGTGTGAACCCAAAGTTGGTGGAAATATGCCAGGGAAGAGACAGCTCTCAGGGTGCATCAACCCACCTGGAGCTACCCGTGGGGGCAGGCACAGAGTCCCAATGGAGCCTCAGTGAAGAGAAGGCAGAGTGGCAGTGAGGAAGAAGCAGTTACCGGTGTTTCCCCTCTGTAATGGCCACATCCCCAGGAAGGCATCCCCAGGCTGCGACATGATTGACAGGTTGGATTCCTCTACATGTTCACATAGGTGGAAGGTTGACCTAAAAATCTATCTGCCACAAGTTAAAATGCTCCTTCGAAGCAAGGATGGCTAGACCCACCTACTTTGGATGTGTTCTCAGGCGAGAGCAGTCTCTGGAGAAGGACATCATATTTCATGAAGTAGAGGGCTAGAGAAAAAGATGGGGACCCTCAATGGGATGGATTAACCTGGTGGCTGCAACAGTGGGCTCCATCCTATGAGAGATCGTGAGGAAGGGAGAGGGCTGGTCAGTGTTCAGTTCTGTTGTTCAAAAGGTTGCTAAGAGTCAGAACTGACTGGATCGTGTCTAACAATGATAATCTTTATTGGTGGAAGATCACCAGGTGTTTAGTCCTGCAGAGTGACTGGTGGGTTTGAATTATTGACCATTCAGTTGAGTGGTTGACCCTTATGTTACCAGGGCTTCTTGGGAAAGAGAAAATATTAGAGCTAAATAAATTAAAAAAAATCATTTTATTAGGGGCTCATACAACTCTTATCACAATCCATACATACCTCAATTGTGTAGAGCACATTTGTACATTCAGTGCCCTCATCATTCTCAAAACATTTCCTCTCCACTTAAGTCCCCGGCATTAGGTCCTCATTTTTCCCCTCTCTCCCCACTCCCCTCTCCCTCATGAGCCCTTGATAATTTATAAATTATTATTTTGTCATATCTTGCCCTGTCCGACGTCTCCCTTCACCCACTTTTCTGTTGTCTGTCCCCCAGGGAGGAGGTCACATATAGTTTCTTGTAATTGGTTCCCTCTTTCCAACCCACTCTCCCTCTACCCTCCCAGTATCACCACTCACACCACTGTTCCTGAAGGGATCATCTGCCCTGGATTCCCTGTATCTCCAGTTCCTATCTGTACCAGTGTACATCCTCTGGTCTAGCCAGACTTGCAAGGTAGAATTTGGATCATGATAGTGAGAGTGGGGGCGGGGAGGAAGCATTTAGGAACTAGAGGAAAGTTGTATTTTTCATCGTTGCTACATCGCACCCTGACTGGCTCGTGTCTTCCCCGAGACCCCTTTGCAAAGGGATCTCCAGTGGCCTACTAATGGGCTTTGGGTCTCCACAGAGCTAAATAAATTATGGGAATATAGACTTTTACTGCTCTCTTTCGCATAGTTCAGATTTTACTATGCTATGGGCTTCCGGATCCGTCATCATCCACAAATATGATTCTTTTTATCAGTGACTTTTCTAAATAGATCTTATCATTTGAGCACCCATACTCAAGCAAAGAGCAACATGCTTTATGGAAATATTCTTTTTTCATTTTTAAGATGTTGATTGTGAATTAGGTGAGGGTTTACATTTCAGATCATCAATTTTGTATTCAACAGCTCAAACCCTCTAGCTGTTTGCCCCCCACCCCCCACCCCTTGTGGCATGCTGTCTTCCTCTTCATCCAAGTGACCACGTGTCTACCCTCTAGCCTATTGCTTCCTCTTCCCGCCTTTACCTTTCCCTCCATCTCTTGGTAACCCTCAAAGTCTGCTTCTTTGGTATGAAAATCTTTGTCTTGGCTTTTTCTTTATTAGTCGACCCTACCATATTTTCCCTTTTGTGATTGACTGCTTTCACTCATGGAGCCCCGTTGGTGACGTGGTTACATGTTGGGCTAGTGTCCGGATGGTCGGCAGTTTGAAACCACCAGCAGCTCCATGTGGGAAAGACTGGGCTTTCTACTCCTGTAAATAGCTACAGTCTCAGAAACCCAGAGCGGGTCGCTGTGAGTCAGCATTGACTCAATGGCAGTGTTGAGTTTAATTTCACTTATCATGTTTTTTGGGTCCATTCGTTCTGGAAATAGTCTAAGTTGTAAACATGCAGCCATCAATACAGAGCACTGAGAAATATGGTTGCATCTGTCCTGAGCGATTGAATCATTCCTCAATGGCATTGCTGTTTCATAGACCTGGGTCCTGAGGGTGGTGAAGGCAATGACTTTCTCCTGGTTTTGATTGTGATTTCTTTGAGGGTTTGTGCTTTGCTGCATTTGTCTCCCTCTTTGTTGGCAACCTACTTGCTGTTGCTAGCCAACCTTGTTTTCTCTTTTTATTGTATGTAACAGATTCTAGATAACTAAGTGTGTAAATCTGCTCACTTTGGAGATGTGAGGGGATTGGGTGTAAGAATGAAGGGGGTTAGAGTTTTGTTTCTGCTCTTTGTCTTTCTCTGTGGGAGTGTCATAAACGGCACTGAGCTCTGAGCCTCCTGGTTTACTCTCATCCTGCAGTTTTCACAAGGGACACACAGGCTGTCCTGGGTATGGTGGACTTGCGTCACCACCAATGGCACCCTTTAAAAAAAAATTATTTCATTGGGGGCTTGTGCAACTCTTATCACAATCCATACATATGTCCACTGTGTCAAGCACATTTGTACATTTGTTGCCATCATCATTCTCAAAA